ATTGATGACCAAGCAAACCACTCCAACCACACTCTCCATCATAGGCAGGATCCTGAGGTTCATTTCAGCCAGGGCATATAATGCTTCTTGCCATGTCTATGTAATTTAGGGGATTTATTTTGAATGCGTGCTCATTTAGAAATATATTTTAATTGAAATGTTTAGTGCTTTATCTTACATACATACTGTGCAATACCATAGTGTGTTCTTTTCCTTTTTTATTTTTTTTTTCCCCCCTAAGACTTTTTTGAAATTCTTGATGTTTGTTTGAGCTCCAGTGTGTTTTTGACTTGGATCAGCTCTGGTAGTAGTAGTGTTTTCCTTGCCCTGAGCTAACCAGAAGCAGCACATTGCACAACCAAAACCCTTTGCAAGTCATGCACCCTCACATTCACCAGCAACCTGCAACTCCTGGGAGGCAGGGAATGCTCCTCTCCAGAGGGTCTAATTTGCACTTACTGTAAGGAATTGATAGCAACCCAGGGAAATAGGAATAAACTAGAGAGAAGAGCCCTCACCTGTTCCCACCAAACTCCACGGTCCTTTTGTCATCAACTTTCAAAGGCACAGGCATTAAAAACCAGCTCCAGCCCTGGAGCAGCAAGGCAGGTGCTGTGTGGGCTCTGCTCCAGGGTCTGCCATGAGCACTGTGACAAAGGTGCCTAAAGACAATCAGCTTCTGGAACTCCCTCCTGATCCAGTGATTGGAATCCATCCTCCTCCACGTTTACAGCTTCTGTCTGACTCAAGATGACATTCCACTGGGGGTGTAGGGGTTCAGCTGCCCAGAGCCTCTGTGATTTCCTGGTTTCCTGTGAAACCAAGGGGTTGAAAGGTGCTATAATTGTTCACGAGGCACATTCCCAGCCACAGAAGGAAATGGTAACTTGTTCAGCAGTTATTTTACACAGAACCTTTTTTATTTATATCAGTGTGTTTCATATGTGTGCTGATGGCCCTGGCTTCTCTCCTGGGGATCAGCTTTACAACATTTGGTCTTTCCTAGGGCAGCCATAGGCAATATCTTGCAATCATGTGTAATTTCTTAACTTAGAGCAAGAATAAATCTCATCTGACAGGATGAACTCATTTATGGCAGGCTTTACTGTTTGTTGTAAACACAACCTGTTTGTTCCACCTCTTGCATGGTTACTTATCTGTTTTCATATTGCTATGTTATTGTTCAAAATATCTATTTCTCTTTATTTGCTATGGGGTTTGTTACTGTATATGGAATGTTTTGTATTCAGCATTTTCTTACGGAGCAGAGTGGGAACAGTATTCAAGGACCCACAAATACCAAAGACCTTTCATGTAATGCACTGAGAAATAAACTTACTGTAAATGAAAATCATGTCAGGTGTCCTCTATTTACAAAGTTCAGAGCGAGTTCAAGCAAACTGCAGCCTGAAATCAGGGCAGCTGCTTTCCTTCCTGACATCTCAGCCTTGTCTTTGGGAAAGCTCCTTTGCAGGGCTCTTAAAAACAAGATGTGCACAAAGGCCCTGCTTCTGGGCACCTGCTGTGGGCAAAAAGGGCCTTTCTTGCCTAAAACCAGAGCTGAGTTTCCCTGCCCTTGGTGGGACTGACTCCTGTGCAGAGATCTGTCTGCAGGACACACAGAGTCACCTCTGCATTCCCAGCCACCAGACCCAAACACAGGGACACCTCCCAAACACAGGGACACCTCCCAAACCCAGAGACACATCCCAAACACAGGGACACATCCCAAACACAGGAACACATCCCAAACACAGGGACACCTCCCAAACACAGGGACACATCCCAATCACAGGAGCACATCCCAAACACAGGGACACATCACAAACCCAGGGACACCTCCTGCCCTCATGGGGAGGTGTTTGAGCTCCTCAGGCAGCCTCTCAGGTGAGGTCACTTTGAGCACCTTGCTGTGCACTGCAGAGTGAGGCTCTCCCCAGAGCTGGCAGATTCCTCCTGCCCAGCAGCCCCCTCCAGTTCCTGCAGGAATTTTGTGTCAGGGCAGAGCCAGGGATCTCAGCCTGGGCTCAGGGGGGCACTCAGAGGATGGCAGCAGCACATTGTGAGGGGGGAACAAACCAGAGAGAGAACCGTGCTCTGCCCAGCAGTGTAAATTAAAATCTGCTGATATTTGCAGTGTTCCTCACTGCCCCAAAAGTTTCCTCGTGGTTCAAGGAAGTCGAGTTGGCTCAACTAAGACAGCAAGGGCTGCCCAAACCCCTCCCTGACATCCCCTGGTACCTCCTGGGCATTCTCCTCCTTCTCCAGCAGCCTTTGGGTGTTCTCTGAGTGTGCCTCTGGCTTATGGAGACCTCCAGAGTTATCATCTCTTGTGGCAATTCAGACTGCCAGAGAGGATGTGGGTAAGGACGTTCTTTTAACCTTCCTGCTCTGGGAACAGCTGCCCCTTGAGGTGCCACACCTCTGTGTTAGCAAAGGGAGGCTCTAGGGGAGGACCTGGGCTGTTTCTGTCACAGGTGTCACAGCTCTGGGCTCTGAACTTGTTTTCCATATCCCAAAGAAAACAAGAGATATGTAAATCCCAGCCAGTTTTCCCCCCTCCTGGTCTGATTACACTGCAGGGATGCAGATAGCAAAGGTGCAGGGAAGGCTGAGCCTTGTAAACACTGAGCAATGTCCACAGAGTCAGACCTCTGCTGCACGGGGTGTTTTGATGAGGACATGCTCAAGGTTACCTCATGCAGACACTGCCATGCAGCACTTCTCTGGGTCTCTCAGGGTGTATTTATCTCAGTTTTTGAGTCCTAACACCTCCAACTCCGATGTATTTATCCTTGCAAAAAGTCCTCTGAGGGAAGGCAGTTGTGTTAATCACCACTGCACAGATTGGGAGTTGCTGGATAAAAGGCTAAATTAATTTCTTGGGACATTTGTGGCTGTGCTGGTCTGCCAGGCACCAAATTAGCATCAGGCCCATGTTGGTCTCTGGGCCATTATGGCCACTGATTGTAATCACAGCGAGGGGAACTGACTTCTCCTGAGCTTAACACAGCCCAGGAAAATCAATGGCAGAGGGGAACACATTGAACTTGTAGCAGGAGCTGATTAAAAGAAAACTATTTATTCACAAGCAAAGCACAGCTAGAGTTGGAGTTCACTGCCTTAACCCTTCATTAACCTCATGCTCAGCACTAAGAGGCTCTGTAGCCAGCCAGGCACTGGCACTGTGGTAAGAATGGCTCTGGCCATGAGTGTGGTTGGAATTGTCTCCACATTCCAGCCTGGGGATGGGGAAAGCAGTGAACCTGAAACAGGAACAAACTCACCCTAAACTTCCCAAGCAACACTATAGAAAAACAGCTACTACACTCTATAAAGGAAAAATGAGCAGGGGCACTATATTTATTACCTTATTTACCCTCAAAGAACAGTTCACAAAACCAGTGACAAGCTGCTTCAAAGATGGATTGGGAAAAATGGGACTATTCCAGACTGAAGGATGTTGTTTGCTTGGCATCAAGGAGAGCCTGGGAGCTGATCAGGCCTGACTTTGTTATCTCTGAGCCTTTTTGGGAGAGGCAGAGAGAAACAAGACCCACATCCCACTTTTAGGACAGGATCAAGCACCCTTGGACAAAGCTGATCCCATTTGTGAACTCCAGTGGCAAACTAAACATCACACACTCCCGACAGCATAGCAGGGAAAGGTGTGTCAGCCACAGGCTGGCAGATGAAACTTGGATCAGTGATGAGAATTGATTGTTAGAACTCTTTGCCAAAGGATGTGGTAGAGTTTGCACTCCAATATGGTTTTCAAATGAGGAGAGGTCTTTCTCCTCCTAAATATATATATATATATATATATATATGTATGTGAGGTTAGGCTTCCAGGTGCTCATGGGCACCCAATTTCTCAGGTTGTTTTCTTCAATGAGCCAAGCAGCTAATAGCTGCTGTAAAGTTGTTTATTGCAGAAGCACATCAGTCTCAAAGGCAAAAGCAAAGTAAAGCAAATAGTAAAAGCAAAATGCAATGGCAAAATGCACCAGCTCTGCCTAATGCATGTTCTTATATAGAAACTTCCCAACAAGCTGAGACACAAACTTGGATCACCACTTCATAACCTATTAGAATTTTAGCTTTTTAGCATGCCAGGCTATGCATAAACTACGTATATGGTCTATTTTGTTCTATCTGAAAAATGTAAGCAATATTCTTACTAGAGCTTTATTATGTCTAAAACTATGTTCTTGGAGCCTCCATGGATACACCAGTATCTAGGACTGTGTTTCAACCTTCACTAGAACATGTACTGCTACTCTGGCATCCAAGACCTTTACTCACTAAAAGCCCTTAAAACTCATTTTACTTACTCATTTCATTTCCTTACTTACTTGCTCACTTACACTGAAACCTGAACTTTCACCTCTGCCTCATGTGTGAGTGGCTTAACACACTTCAATCCATCCAAAGGCTTTAATTCAATCCCTGCACTCTGATTTCTCTCTGAAGAATTGCTGACTCCAACATATATATATATATCTCAGAGAGGGGTGTGTGTGATGGGTTCAACTCGAGGCACCTCCAGCCAGCAGAGCCATGCCAGATGCTCAGATTGGTGGAATTGGTGGCCACAAAACCTCAGATGTCCATTCCTGACACAGCTCAGCACTGGATTTGCTGCTCTAAAGCCTCTCTACAAATCACCAGGGCATGGGAACAGAGTCCTTGAGCATCCCACTGGCTGAGGCTGCCCTGAGCCCAGAGCTCCAACACCTGATAAACCTGCCTGTGGGAAGGGACTGTCCAGGGCGGAAAACTTCTGGCACCCAAATTTTGTCCTGAGACTGCACACACACACACACCAAGGCAAGGCAGAGGTGCCTCCCTGAGCATGGGAGCAGGGAAAGGCTGGGTCAGAGAGCCCAGAAGGGACCTGTGGCAGCACTGTGGGACTGTGCCAAGGAAAAGCTGATTTATGTGTAACCAGCTGGGGTTAATGTTCACCCAGCAGCATTCTGACAACTAAACTTTAGACTTAGCTCAGAAAACATTGGCTGAGGGCACGATAGGATCCTGGCAGCCTCCTTCTCTCTGCTCCTCAACCACAAAGACATCTTCAGAAATGGATGGAGCCTGGGTCTACCTGGTGACAGGAGGATGTGGCTTTGTGGGGGAGAGGATTGTAGAGCTCCTGTCTCAACAAGACTACATCAAAGAAGTCAGAGTTTTTGATTCAGTAGCAAGAGAAGAAGTAGAAAAATTCAGTACAGGTAAGAAAATGGCATCAGCATCTCTTTAGTGGCCATAACCTCCCTTTCCTGGCAGCTGGGATAACACTAGAGGTGCCACAGTTACAGGCGTGGGGCAGGAACCTGGGTTAAACAGAGTGGGTGAGGAGCAACTTCCAGCTCAGACGTTTTACAGCAGAGGACTCAGTCAAAGAAAAAAGCCCCCCAGGGATGGATGACCCAGGAGATGTCTCCCAGTGAGGCTCTGAGTCAGGGATCAGCTGTGAGGAGCCACAGGCACACAGAGGCTGTGACATGGGAACCCGGCTGCTCAGCCAGTCTGACACAAAAGGGCTAAACCAACATCCTCCTGAGCTGCTCCAACCAGCCACTGCTTCTGAGGAAAATAACTAAAACTCCTGACAGCAACAGAATCAAACTCAGTACCTACTGCAGGCATTGCGAAATAAATTATGGAAATAATTGAGATAAACCTAGAGCAGCCTTAAAAAACAAGGATGTGAGTCTCAGTAAACACTCAGAAATACTGAATTAATCCATTTGATCATATTCTGAGAGCTTCCTTCATGCAGGGTTGAGTACAGTGAGGTTTGTTGGGGAAAAACAACCTGTTTTACTGGATTCAGGGACTCCCATGCAAAACAAGCCATGGCAGCTCAGGGTGCTCTGCTCAGCTAATGCTGGGCTGGCTCCCCTGCCTCTGACTGCCCAAACCTTCAGCCTGCTCTGAGAGAGGCAAAAAATGCTGAGGGAGATGCTGTTGGGAGATATGGACAGAAAGGGGATGCACCCACAGCAAGTCAAGACTCCCAGGGAAGTATCACAGTCACAAACCCTCCCTGGCACCTGAACTCAGCAGACTGGTTTCCCCAGGTTTCAGGGAGCCAATTACCTTAAAAGCACCCATAATTGAAGGAAAAGCTGCTTAAACCTTAGGGAGGTGCCAAAATCCATGCTCCAGGAGAGGTCTGTGGCCTGACACCCCAGCAAACCACAGAAAACGAGGCAGGAGGAGCCCGAGGGGCCATCCCAGCCCCATCCTCTGCCACAGCCTCCCCACAGGTGTTGGTTCTGTCCCCAGGCCACCCCAGGCAGCCTTTATTTGTTTCTGCCCCACCAGGCAGGGGGTTCAGTCTGGCTCCTTGGTTTCCCATCTGAACTTACAGGTAGAAGAGGTATTACAGGATTACTGTGATTTATTTTTTTTTTTACAACAATCTTCACCATCTGCAAACCACATCCTTCCACCCCATACTGGTTTGTGCTTTAGGCTAAAGCAGCTCTCACACTCTCCTTCCTCCTCCTCTGCTCCATCCAGCACTGCAGGGCACTGCCATTGCTCCTGTCTGCAAGGGGAGCATCGAATTTTGGGCTGTGACCTTCCCATTGCTGCAAAAAGCTCATGGGTTTGTCTCTTCCTTCCTGCAATTTATCCTCCTGTTTTATCTGTCACTGCAACTGTGCCTTTTTCAGTTGACAACAAGCAACAGCTCCTGAGCTGCCCTGGCCCGATTTAATTCCTTCATTAAGATCAGCTGCCTCTTCCCTGCTAAACCCAAAAACTTCTCTTTGTTCCTATCAAATTTCACTTTTTTTTCCCCCCCTCCAGACTGTTAATTCTGTTCAGCTCATACTCAAATCCTCCAGCATGGTCCCTCCCAGTCTGATGTTATCTGCTGATTTAATGAACAAATCTGCCAGATTCTTGATGAAAACAATCAAAAAGACTCAAATGCAGCAATAAGCCCTGGAGAGCCCCAGGGCAGCCACCTACCACAGCTGGCAATTCCCTGGGAACTGTAATTCCGCCAGCTTTGTGCTCTCCTTAATGGGGCTTATTTAGCCCATGTTTTACTGACTCCTTGTGAGAATGAGGCTGAGTTTCCAAAGCCCTGTGAAAATCAAGATAGATGACATCAACCTGTTCCACAATATCCCTCCAGCCTGTTACCTTGTCATAAGAACAAAGGAGGTTTATCTGCCTTGATTTGTTCTTGACAAATCCATGTCAGCCTTTTCCATTCTGCCCATTATCCCACAGCTGCTCACACACACGTGCTCCTGAATTTCCTGGGGTTGAAACCCAAATGTTCTGTAATTTCCTGCCTCTTCTTTGCCTCCCTTCTAAGCACAAGTGTCTCATTTGCTCTGCTGAACTCTCCCAGTGCTTTCAGAAGCTCTCCAAGGTAGCTGATAACAACACTGAAGCTGCAGTTACAGCCCTCACCTCTCTAGGAGCCCTGGGAAGAGCCCATCAGGCCTTGTCAATGTGAAAATTCCTCATGGCTGTTTTACACCCGCTGCCTTAACACAGGTGGTGTGAAAAAGGCTATTTAACACTTCAGCCTGATGGGTTCCAGGCTTTCCTGAACCACAGAGCAGCAGAAAATTCCCCCCAAGGGTCTGCTGATACTGCTCTGGCTCTCAGCAGGAGCATCCCCCTCTGCACTCTGGTCCTCCAGGCAAGGTTTTACCTCTGCTACGTGGACAGATCCTTTCTTTTCACCCTCTCTTCTCCCTGAATCTACTCTGTGCTTTACTACTGAATTAATATTCATACTCAATGTTAATTGATTTAATATTAAAAACTCCTCAGAGTGAGTCCACTGGTTATTGGCTATGCTAGTTAAGAAAGCAGCCTGACCCCTTGGTAAAATTTCTGTCTCCTCCTCCACCCCAGGCTGCTCAGAGAACACTTGATCTGCTGGCTGGGATTCCATCCCTCCTTTTGGACCATGAGGAATAATCCTCTTCCCCTCTTGCCCTGCTGGATCTCCTCTGAGGGTTTCCACCCCATAACAGCCACAGACCCTTCCCTGAGCTCCTCATTTGTGTCATCCTCCAGAAATTCCCACCCTGGCCCTAGGGTGTGTGGGGCTGTGCCAGCCCAGGGCAGAGGGGATCTCCTTCCCAAAGGAACCCTGTGAGTGGTTTATTGCAAATCCCTGAGGAGTGCAGGCTCCTCACCCCAGCCCTTCCCTGGCCTATTCCCAACTAGGGAAAGGAAAAAGGGAAAAATCCCACTTAAATGTTACAACACTGTCTCAAAGCAAGAAAATGGACAGTAGATGCCAAGAGTGGCCATGTATGGAACAGCTACAGGCAGAAGTAAGAGGTGAGAGGGAACAGGGGAGAATTCTGAGTGGCTCTAAGGGAAGAGTTTCCTATGAAACTTTTAAAACCTGTTACATTATTTTCCTTCTTAATCTACAACATTTATGATTTAAACAAAGCTCTGTGCCGTGTCCCTTGCAATCCCCAGGTGTTATTCCCATCAAGCCCTGACATTTCCTGTCTGCAGGAAGATTCCAGCACAGCTTCCCTGACCCCGGGGCTGGAGCAGCCACAGCCCTGGGCCAGCTGTGTCCTGCTACCCTTGGGTGCAGCCTGGGGATTTGCAGTGACAGCCACAGGGATTCTGCCCCATTCTCGATGCAGAGCACTGTGTTGAATTAAAACTAGGTGCAAACTTGGCTTCTTGGAGTTCAAAAAAAGGAATTTTGCCCTGGTGTGCTGGATTCAAATGGCACAGTCACTATCACAGAGAGGGTTTTGCAGGAAGGTGAGGATGCTGATTTTTACTCTCTTTTTTTTCCCTCCCCCTGCATCTCTGTATTGTTTTTCTGCAGGTACCACTCGTGTGACAGTGACCAGAGGAGACATCAGGGACCCTGATGTGCTGCTGGCTGCCATGCAGGGCGTGCACGTGGTGCTTCACTCGGCTGCTCTGGTGGACTACAGGGGCACGGTGCCCTTCTGGGAGCTCAGAGCTGTCAATGTTGGGGGTGAGCCTGGAGCAGGGCCCTGCCCTCACACCCCCATTCACTGCTCCCAAATCCCACACACCCCGAGATGGGAAAGGTGCCCTTCTGGGACATTTTTCTACTTGCAACATTGGCATTCTTGTTTGCCTGTGAAATCTTTTTGCTTGGTAAAACCATCGTCTGTCTGAGGTGGATTTATCCTTTGCTATGAGCTATAAAAACCCCTTCCAGCTCACATACTAACACACCCTTTGCCTTCTTAGTTTGCCAGTAAGACTGGCCCAGCAATTCTTTTCTTCTATATCAAAACTTGCTTTCATTTCTATTCCTTCTTCAGATTCTAAATTCAAAGATCTTTCTGTTAAACGTACACATCTGTGAGACCTTCCTGTCAAACCCCTATCCATCCCAACAGTGCCCAGGACCTTTCCAGCAGGGAAGTTTCTCCCTTTGCCCCTCTGTCCTTGCTCAGGGCTGCCCACTCTGCTCCTCTCCACTGCTCATCACATCTGGGCTCAGTTTTGGCTGTTCTGGCCCAGGGCAGGACTGCCCTGATGGCACTGAGGTGGTTCAGGACACACCTACAGTGGCCAGAAACTGTTTTGTGTGCGACAAGGACAACAATAAAAATTAAACCCTGTTCTAGATAGCTCACAGCTTTCCCATGGAATTTGCCCTGTCTATACCAGCACAAGGCTGGACCCATTGAGCTGCACCCACCAGAAAGGAGTGATGCTGTTTTAATTAGCAGAGTGATGCTGTTTAATTGTCAGAGCTCCCAGTTCTCATGTTTGGACAGGCCACGTGTAACTGAGAGCTCCACAGCCCTGTCCTCCTACCACCAAGAGCAATTTCACGTTTGGTGCAGGATCTGCTTAGAGAAAATTCGTTCATAAATCTAGGAAATAAGCACAGGCCATAAAAATAATGAAATCCCTATTACAGCAGCAATTCCAGTGGTACCTCAGGCTGTTAGCTACTAAAATAGTCGTTAACCAAAAGGAAGGATTTTTTTTTTATATATATATACATCTCCAACTCAATTACTGCTTAGGGCTTCTACTATTTGCTGATACATTCAAGGGTAACATTTAAATTCCAGCCTTCTTTTCATTGCTGTAGTTGTTTTCAAAACTCAATGCTTTTAAGAGCCTGTATTGTGCTCTCTGTGTTCTGAGAATATTCAGAGCCTGAGGGTTCCTGCTGCTTTTTAGTGGCTTTGTGAGCTCTTCCCCCTTCACTGCTGCTGTTGCTTCAGCACAGGGAGGATTTACAGAGAGCACTGAACACCAGGCAAGTCCCCTCCTCAGCAAACCAGAGCTCTGGCAGATGTTGGTGACATTCCCAGAAAACCACACACACGAGGATTTTCCAGTGTGACCGAGTGACTCCTTGAGGAGCACGGTCTGGGGTGGCTCAACAGGAGCCTGTCCTGCATTTCTGCCTCCCCTTGGATGGCTCCACATGGAACTCCCCAAACTGGGGCTGCTGCCCTCACTAGGGCTCCTCAAAATCCTGAATTGAGAGATTAACCTCAAGTTCTCTATTAAAATCATGGCAGATAAAAGAATAAAAATGGTATTTGATACCTGCTGTAGACTTCAGGGAAAAAAGTAGGGTCAGGAGAGGTCAAGTATATAATCCTCTAGCTGGCTCCTCTGTGCAACTCAGGCCACAGAAATACATCCAATTACTGCCCTAAGCCCAACAATTTGTGGCTAAATTGGACCATTCCTTTTCAAAAGGCTTGTTGCCTCGAATTAAGGGTGCAAGTTAATGGGCTATCTATCATGGCTTTCAGCAAGCCATAACAATGCTGAGGAGTGGTGGTGTGGCTATGGTTAATTATCATTTCTGGCCAAAATTTACATTTTCTGCTTTGATTCCCTCCTCTGTTTCAACCACTGGCTGCTGAATCCTGTTACAGCCTTGTTGACTGAATTGAAGAGTTCTCTTCTGCAAGAATTATTTTTTCCATCTAGTCACTTAAAGACTTTTTAATCTGCTTTTTGTTGAGCTGAATGGATTTTAACTCAGCTGTTTCCAGTGATGTTTCTCACCAGGGGATCTCAGTTAACTTTACATATTGTGATAGGCTCATGGAGAAGCACATTGATTCTTTTCCACCGGGATTTCAGACGGATTCGTGTGCTCAGAAATTATCCTAAACTCAGGATTTCCTTGGTAATTTCAGATTATGCCCTTAATAGCAAAGAGAAGAGAAATCACAAGCCCTCCCACACAAGATCTGCAGACAGGCTCAGGGCAGAGCCTGCTTAGCCAGGTACAGAGTGTGGAGGTTTCTGGAAGCCAACCCAAGCCGCTTCCTTTCAGCTCTGGAGGCTCTCAGTCCTTGTCATTGAGGTTCTCACAGGTTCAACTTGGACCAGAACCACAATGAATGCAAAAACCACCCCTGCAAGAGTCATAAATGGTTTGAACTCGCCAAAATACTCCAAAATAACCACACTAAACCACACAGACTGACCAACTATTCAGACACAACAACCTTTCTTAAAGCAAACCATGTTTTGGATTTGTCTGCATTTCATGTGGACTTATAAGCTGCCCTCATTATTTTATTTAAAGTTCTGCAGCTATCAGGAGTCTGATGGAGGGATTTCACTCTGTAGCACCCTGCAGAGCTTCTGTAAAGCAACACACGCAGTTAAATCACTGATCATTTGCCAGAAGGCTGCAGTGCACCAACAACCTGCCCACAAATGGAAAAAGATGGAGTTCTGCTCTGCCAAGCCCTCAGCTTCCCTTTGTTAGCAGCTCCAAAGTCCAGGTTTAGTTGCCATTGGCCACGGAGGTTCAGCCACATCAGAGCTATGGCTGTGACTGCTACTGAGGTTACAAACCATCCCCTCCTGAGGAAATGCAGCCCTGACCTGGGGCTTTACATATTTTCAGCCATAAAAAAAAAAAAAAAAGACTGATTAGTTCCAAGCCAGAAAAAGCCTGGGAATCTCCTTTGATTTGCACAACAGGAATCAAGGCAAGGTGGTTGATGTTTGTCCTTCCCATCCTGCCCCACAGGTACTGAAAATGTGTTAAGGGCCTGCTGTGTCCTGAGCATCCCATTCCTGCTCTACACCAGCTCCATCGCTGCCGTGGGACCCAACACCTCCTGTGAGCCCCTGCTCAGGTGAGGCTCAGCAAATCTTCTCCATGGCTCTGTTTGTCCAGTCAAACAGCAGTGGAACTGCAGCCAGGTGGAGATTTGAGCTGTGCCTACCAAGGAAAAGATTTGTGTTCCCCTTCTGTCTGTTCCTCTTCTCTTTCTTGAAAACCCTTCCTTGCTGCTCTGCCCATTTAGGAATCATGGCTCTTCCCAATCTAAACCTGGCCAGTGATAGCCCAAGGTCAGAGCTGGGTGGCCCAGGCTGTCCCTGGATCTACAGCCCTGCTCCTCTGAGTCCTAAAATCATTTCCAGGTAAGGTTTCAGGTGCTCAAAGTTTGAGATGTGGCCAAATTACATCCTGCTCTTGGGTCAGGGTTTTTGCTCTCCCTCACAATGAGCCAGCCCAAGGGGCAGGGGATGTCCCACTGCTCCCAGCTCCTGTCACCAAATGTGGGCAAATCTCATGTAGCATTATCCCAGAAAAATTTAATTGGCCATGAAATCTTAGGGGACAAGATGCACTGGTGTGAACCTGCCCTGCAGGGTTCAGGTGCAGTCACATCCTTGTGTTACCTGATTCTGACCTGTAAATTGTGCCCTCCTATGCCCCCAAATCCTTCCTCCTGGCAACATGCCCATGGGGGTTCTCTCCTGGGCTCCTGGATGTCACCACTTCAGGCCATCAGGCTCAACCCTTCTCCTCTGTTTGTGGCTCCCACAAGATTGACCCACAGACCCAGAAGCAGCAGCAGAGCTTTTGAAAACCTTCTGTGGCAAAGGTGGCATTTGGATCAATACAAAGGCAGTGGTCAAAATGACAGTTTTGAGGGGTTTTTTGCTTTGATCTCCAGAAGTGACTTTGACAATCAGCTGACACCCCTGCTCAGGGCTCAGCATCAGGATACCTCCTGTATTCCTGGGGCAGCAGGAATCCTGCACCTTGAGAGCAGGGCTGATATTTCTGAAGACCAGGGGCTGAAGTTTTAGGTTAAATTTAAGCTCAGCCTGATGTGTACTATTGGAAAGCTCCTGGCTGACTTCAAGCCTGGCTGTAGCCACACAAACTGCTCAGCCCCTGGAAATTTGTGTGCCAGGGGGACTGGCTCCAAGTCAAGTGGTGTCTCCACAGGCAGCCAGGCTGGACACAGCTGCCTGCAGTCACTTGGCTCTAGAAATTTGAGCCCAGCTAGAAAAGACATAACTTAAAATTACCTACAAGCCTAAATTTCATGCTCACAAATAAGTCAAGGCGTAAGCCAGTTGTTTTGAAAAGCATCTAAGCACTCAAATCTGTAGAATAAATGTCTGGCTTATGAAAAAATCCATGAGAGCAACTCAATCCACTTGGGACCACGAGCACTGGAGACTGTGTCACTGCAAAGCTGTGGGATTTGGTCACTAGCAAATACAAATACTAAGAATTCATGCAGATACAGTCACATTCTTGTCAGTATTTTAGTCCTGTGACTTAGAGAGAGATGTGAACAGATGTCTTGAAAAAATCAGCCCCAGATGTTGCCTGATCACAGTACTTTGGTTGGTAATGGTGGCACAAGAGGGGCAAGTAAAACCCACCCAGGCTGATGCTCATGGGGTATGAACAGCCTTCCCCTCCACAAAGACAAACAAAACCACACCTGAACCTTTCACCCATTTTGCAGAACGCACTCAGATTCTCCCATTACCCTGAGAGGAAACCTTAGAGAGGGGTCTTCATCCTCCAGTTATTTTGATTTTAAACGAAGGGAATTAAATAATGGGAGGAGTATCAGCCCTCCCAGTCAAAACTTAGCCCATGTGTCTCAACGGGGAGCCAGGGATGGCAGGGAGCAGCATTAATATAACAGGGATAACAGAGAGCAGCTGTTTTCCACACTGAAAGCACAGGTGATGCCTTCCTCCTTCCTCCTTCCTCCTCCTCTCCCCATCCCCACCCCATCTGTTCTGCCCTCTCTCTCACAGTCCATGATCCTGCTTTTTCCTTTTCCTCTGTCCCCCTTCTCCATCATTCCTCGTGGAATTTATTAAACTCCCTTGTAGGTGCTGGGGAATTGGCACAGACACAGCGGGAGGAGCCCCTGGCCGGGGTGATGGGCACAGGGATGATGCTCACACCTCAGCATCCCACAATAATAGAAAATGCCTCTGTCAGTCTCAATCCCTGGGAGACAGGCACTGCGGAGATGCTTTCTGACAATGCTGCTCCAGTCTGATTAGCGTTCACTTATCGGGGATCGTTTTGAAAAGCAGGAGCATTATGCTGAGCTCTTTGTTACTGCCAAGCTTCAGAGGGGTGGGGGAAGGCACACACAGCAGAGCCCAGGAACAGCAGGCAGGTTTGTCCCTTTGTGAAGCTGCTGCTTTCAAAAAGCTTTGCAGGGGAAAAAAAAAATTTAAAAAGGAAAAAAAAAAAAAAGAGAAAGCAATTAAAACTAGAACTTCTAGATAACCCCCCACTAATTGTCTTGGGCCTCTCCTGGGCTTGCAACAAACCTCGCACAATCAATCTTTTGTCTTGCTTGTTTTTTTGGTTTGTCTTGTTCATGCCCTGTAAACACAGGAGGGGAGGAGGGTCTGGTGATAGAAGCCCAGGGTGTGTGAGGAGTCTGCATTTCTGATGCTCCTCATTTATTTCTGTTGCTGTAGCACAAGGAGAGCCTGATCTCAGCTGGGATATCTGACACACAACATGCCAGGCTGCTGAACAGGCAACAGCATCAGCCACGTTTTACACAGGGAGATCTGAGCACAGGGAAGAGAAAACAACTTGCCCAAGGTCAGAGAGCTGAGTCAGAGCTGGCTGAGCCAAGGCCCAGGGTTTGACAGGAGCACCTCTGCTGCAGATCTGCTGTGTGAAGTCCTCCAGGGCCACTGGACCCTTCCAGGAGATCTATCCGAGCCCATCTGCCCCAGGAGGGTGAGGATTCCTCTTTGCCCTGCCTGGGGCACCCCATGCCTGGCTGATCCTGGTTTGCCAGGGTGGATTTCTCTTGGATGGCAGAATATAGAGTAAATTAATGTAAAAGTGGGAAGAAAGTCTCCAGCAGCACATGGAGGGAGAGGGAACTGCTCTAAGCTACTCAGGGGAGCACAGGAGCAAGTGGATGCTCCTTCCCAGTGCTGCAAGCCAGGTTTCTTCAGTCCAGAGCCCTCTGGAGATGTTTAATCAAATCCCATGATGGCCTCAGGCTGATCTAAAACCACTGGGACGAAATTCTGACACCCCATGGGGAACAGAGCTGCTTTTTGCATTGTCCTTGGAATGATTCCAGGCCCCGTGAGGCCATTCCATGGGATCCCCCAGGCTTTCCCCTTGGCAGCTGTAAGGTGGCAGCCTGTGGAGCAGGTTGTTTTCCACTGCCACAACCCAGGGTTCCCTGCTTGTCCTTGGCCATGGGTCCTGTGCTTGCCCTTCCCCTCAGGGGTAATTTGTGTGGGGAGATGAAGGAGCAATCCCAGCTGATTGCAAGGCTTGCAGCTCCACCACATCCCCAGCAAACACCTCCCAACTTTAATCAACTCTGTGAGAAAATTAAGTAGCAGTTTCTCCTTTTAGTTTATGGCTCATGAGAGGCTTTTCTCTGCCTCTAATGGAAAAGTGAAGTAGAACTGCTCTCATTTCCTTGCCCTCCATCTTCTTGTGCTCTTTCCACCTTGCTCAGCTTCTGTGAGTTGCTTAAAAATGTAACTCTGCTGCCTTCTAATTGGCCTGATGGAACTTTATTTCAATCATGCTATTAGACAAAACTAAATCCAGCTCTGAGAAACCAGTGCCCCCATGCAAACCCGCCTGTGAAGCTCCTGAGTTCCTTGGAGCCTTATTCCTCCCAAAGCACAGCGAGGAGCTCAGACCCCACAGCTCCCAGGCACAGAAATCCTGGGCAGCAGGGAATGCAGAGCAATCCAGGCTGGGACAGATGTCCCCGAGCCCTGAGCTCTGCTCCAGGCTCATTCTCTGTCTCCCACAATGTTCCAGAGGGGATGAGGACACTGAGTACAGCGGGGAAGTGGAGCTGCCCTACGGCAAGACAAAAGCCATGGCAGAAAGAATTGTGCTTGAAGCCAACGGAAAAAAGGTACAAAATCCAGCCCTGGAATTACAGCACAGGCCAGGGGAAAGAGAGAGGTGGTTGGAGAGACCCCACAGCTCCTGTCTAAGTGTGTATCCAAGCTCTGCCTGGATTTGATGCATAAAACACATTGTCCTAAGCCTCCCAAAACCTGATATTCCCACCTCAGCAGGGAGCTGCCAGACTCTCCCAGGATCAAAGGGTGCTTCCCTTCGAGCCTGGGCTTCAGCTCCAGCAGGAGTGTGACTCTGGAAAGGGCTGGGCTAAATTAGGGCCGAAGGAACCCAGTTCACCTAGTTCATACTGAAAAAAATGTGTAATTTCCAGGCTTTCTAGAGTGATTTCAGAATTAAAAATATTGGTGTACCCAGAACCAGCCCCCTACCCAAGGCAGCTGTGCAGTGTTTCAGACTGGCAGTGCAGTCAGCAGACATATGAGTCCTTCTAGACAATGAAGAATGTAAAAATGATGTAAAAATGAGACTTGTGCTCTAAACCACTGCTTGGAGCATCTCTCCCCTAGTCCCAGTTTGAGGCCCCAGCTGGGCTGGCTGTGTGTGGTACCTGGTTTTGGTTGTTGCAAATCCTCTTTAATGCACCACAACTGCAGAAGAGTTCAAGGAGCACTATGTGGGTGCAAGTGTGCTGTGGGGGGAAAAAAAAAAATCAAACTAGGCACCTCCTTGTGTTTTTCGGGACCCAAAGCAGGTGCCAAGTATGCACAGCACCTCTGCAAATGTTGACTCCTCTAGGCCAGTATTCCCAGGGGTTGGGTTTATCTGGGAAACCCAGTGTCACTGGGGAAGATTCCACCCCTGGATCCATCCAAACTGGATCCATCCACTGGCGTCCCTCTCTGATTTTACAGCTGAGCAATGGTGGCACACTCAGGACCTGTGTCATCCGTGCCAACACCGTGTATGGGGAGAAGGCAGCGTTCCTCCAGGAGCTCTATCTGCTTGCCAGAGCCAGGAATGGTGTTCTGAACTACCTGGAGCCTGAAAACACCGAGAGGAATCACACCTACGTGGGTGGGTGAAGGGCTCAGCTCTTTCATGGGTGCTCCCAGCTTTAGTCACAGGGGATTTTACACGTCAGCTTAGCCATAATCTCCCCAGACAGAGAGATGAGTATGGTGAACGAGCACAGATGGGTTTGGAACCACAAAACTTAGACTGGTGAAAGGATTTTAAAAGCAGTTTCTTATTTACTACTGTTTTCCTGGGAAGGGTTTTTTCTTTCCATTTGAGAAGTGTTTCAGGGATATATGGGGGGCAGAGAGAAATTCTGGCTTTGTTTTTTAAAGTGTTTTTGCTAGGAAAATACCCTTCTTCGTTAGGAAAAAAAATTAAACTACCACTAATTGTCAAGTTCTTTACAGAAAAGGCTGCACTACATAACCAGTTTTAGCAAGCACAAGAAATTACTCACAAAACCTATAGAAAGAATTTGTTTTGGTGCCTTTCAGGGGGGTATAATCCAGCATTAGATCATGCAGGCATTCAGTGATTTCTGTGCAGTACACTTATATATTTTTTTCCAAAAGTGCAGATTTTGAAAGTGCTGTTAGAGAAGAATCAGGCCCAGATAAATCAAGTGACTCCTTCAAAGGCTCACAGCAGAGGCAGGATAAAACCCTGGAGCACTGCCTCCTATTCATCCTGCTCTCACTACAAAACACTGCCCTTTTGCTTCACATGAACCAGGATCACAAGGCACATTAATTGTCCAGCTCAAAGGGGAGACCAAAGGTTTAAAGGATCCTGGAGGCCTGGATTAACTACTCAGCCTCTCTGCAGCACAGCTGAGCACACGATGAGAGCCTCCCTGCTTCCCAGCACTGAAGCTGCAGACCCAATGCACTCATTCTGCATGACACAGGGAAACCGAGCTCCTCCTGACTGCCTGTGTCTCTCCCTCTCTCGTTTCTCCAGGGAATGTGGCATGGATGCACGTCCTTGCAGCAAGGAACCTGCAGCTGAAGCCAGAGCAGCTGGCAGGACAGGTGTATTACTGCTATGATGACACTCCCAGCAGGAAGGGTTTCCTGGTCAGGCTCCAGCTGCTGTCCAGTGCAGACCCCTCGGTGAGGCTGGGCTCACACATCCCCTACTGGAAGATGTGGTTGGTGATACAGCTGCACAGGGTCATCAGGGCCATCCTGTCCCCTTTCTGGAGGCCACAGCCCTTCCTCAACGTGCCCCTGCTCAACACCATAGTCACCAGCTTCTCCTTTGAGACAGACAAGGCTTCCAGGCATTTTGGGTACAAACCCCTGTTCACGTGGCAGGAGAGCAGGCTCAGGACTGCACAGTGGCTGAGAGCAGCTGCAGGGAGCCTGGCAGCCCCCCAGCTGCATGGAAAAAAGAACTAAACGGCATTTTTGGGGTAAGGAGGGAGGTGACCACAGCAGCAGGGTTCACCTGAGCTTCACAACCTGCACGGGGCTGTGGCAGGAGCTTTGCAAACACAGAAATCCTGGGATAGAGAGAAGGAGAAAAAACTCACAGGCTGCAAGCCATGCCCTTGGCATGCCAAAATCTCAGCTATTTTGGGCTATTTTGGGCATTTGAAACCTTCCCTGCACACACCCAGGGTTTGCTGGCCTCCCTCACTCCCACGGTGTCACCACTGCAAGGTGACTTGTGGGAGCAAGAGAGAAGGAGCTCAGGTGGGAGATGGTGGCCAGCAAACCCCTTTGGGGTAAAATCAGTGAGCCAGTTTTGTTCCACAGCCTGGGGAGCCATGGTCTCAGGCATTTGGTGGGGCAGCTGTACCTGGCTCAGACACTGAAGGGTTCTTCAAGTGATAGTTTTGGGGAGACAAGTAAAACCCAGCAGGTTCTTGCTCTGATTTAGGGTTTAATAAAAAGAAAAAAAAAAATTCCTTTTTCCAAAACTGCCTTTTGCAAGATGCTTCCTGTTATTCTTTACATGTGGAATACTGAATATCTATTTTGAAATATTATCCCTATAAAATAAAAACCTCCAATCTTTTGTCCTAACAAGGCATAGACTGATTTACCTTTTAATTGTATGGATGGAGAACTGATGTCTACAAGCTTAAAGGTGGGATTCAAGTAGTTTGTAACTCCAAATCTCTTCCCACAGAGCACTCCAGTGGCAAAGCAAAGCAGGTTAAAGCCCATGTTCAGCTGCTGTGCTGGCAGGAAGCAACTTCAAGTGAAGACCTTAGGGGCTGCATTTATGCTAATAAATGGAATAAAAGGTCATTTCAGCTCCTTCCAGGGCACTGGAGCTGCACAGCCCATCTGGGAGCAGCATTCCACAGATGAGATTTTCCTCACACAGATGGGGCGGGCACTTCCAGGAGATTCACAGCAAAACTGTGGTTTCTATCAGTTTATCAGCTTCTCTATTTTTAAGACTTGCAGAGAGGCTGGTAAATCTACATTATGCAAAACTGAGATTTCAGTTTTCATTTGAGCTTGGAGGAATGGGTTATTTTTACATTACTGGCTCAAATCGAAAATTAACTCTGCTAACATCACACTTCTGTGTTCTGTGAATCTGTACCCATCTCTTGAGTGTTCCTGGAGTAAAAGTGTGCACATACACAAATAGAAGCTTATTTTAATTACAAGTGCCCTGATACTCCTGAAAAAGCAAGTTTCAGCATGACATCCTTGATGGAAATCATGAAAATTTGCTTCCTGTTAGTCCTGGTAATTACCCAGGAAGGAAAGTGGAGCAATACAGTGAGAGCTGCCAAGTTAAATTTGCCAGAATTTGCACTCACAAGAGAATTCTTCTTCAAAATGAGCTTACAGATCAGAAATCAGTCGCTCTGGTAATTCATTACTAAGCTCATATAACATAAATATGGCCCAAACTGTTGCAATCTGCTCACAGAGAATTGAAAAGGTGAAGTGTATAAATTACCACTTCCCTACTATTTTTCCCCTTTCAGTTGTGTTGTGGGGTGAGGTTAAGAAAGAGGATAATAAGATTTCTGATTTTTCTATATCCACTAAAAGCCTCCTTGCAGTTTTTTTGCCATTATCCAAACGGTAGCTGGCAACTCTAAGAGTGTGACAAACAAAACGCACCCTCAATTCCTCATGCACATCCCAGAGCATCTCCACAGTGCATCAGAGTTGGCCTCAGCAGGTTTTGGTGGCTCTGAAGTGATGGATTTATCCTGCCAAAAAAGAGCCACTGGGTGGAGCTGCGAGGCTGGGAACAGGTCCCTCCTGCTAGAGCCCGGCTGGGATTGAGCTGCGCTCTGCAAGCACTGAAATCCCTGCCCAGGCAGCGAGGCTGAAGGCTCTGTCCTCAGCCTGTGGCACTGGGAATTCTGGCCTTCCCTCCTCTGGCTGGAGGCAATCCTCATTTTATCTGCATGTAGCCCTATAATCAAACACAACGAGGAAATGCTTTTTTCCGCTCAGAGCTCATTAGAAAATAATAAAAGTTTGCTTTTTGGTTTTAAAAATAGGATGAATTTTGGCGCTCTGACCTCTGAGAAGCCTTGCACAAGCACAACAGGCTGATGCCTTCAGTCCCAGTCTCTCAGGAATTCCTTTGTGGGATTTGGAGCAGCTGCAGATATCAGATGGGAGAGTTGTCAAGCCCCAGTACTATCCCAGAGATTAATGCCTTACAAGCTTGCCTGCTTTCATAAACCTTGCTGGGAACCTCATCATGCTTTTGTTCCTGTCCTGCTCATCATCACCTATGATTCTGATGCTTATCAGAGTGCAGATGACATGCAGGATAAGCAGAAGGGATTTTCAAAGGTGGTTAAGTACTGGGTTTTTCAAAAGTATCTGAATTAGCTGGCTGCTCAGCTTTTTAAATACCTACTCACCTCCCAAGCTTTGCAAAAGCAACCAGAGGATTCCCTTTCCCTGGTCATGGTAAAAATAGGGGGAAAAGTTAGACAGCAAAGGCTCTGTGCTATTTTCCAAAAAGATGAGTAAGCTTCCTTTGGCTGCCCTGCCTTTTGGCTCCTCCAAGCTAATGCTGCTGCAGACTTCCTCTTAGATCCTTGATTTTATCAGATTATAACTTGTTTTCCCCTGGCAATGCTTTAATTCTTTCTACTGCATTGGGTTGTCATTGGCTTTTCTTTTCAGGGTCTCAGCCTTATTATGTAACAGCAGCAGCAAAAAAAAAAAAAAAAAAGAGAAAAGAAAAAATATTTCAGATCTGTTTCTACTTCAGGAGAGGAGCCTTTGTGCACAATTACTCATCCAAGAGATTCAGCAGGTATAACTGCTTCCCCCAGGGGCTCCATTATATAATTGGATTTCAGCCATACAAATTAAATCCTATCTTACCCCTTAGTTAAGCCAGGCAGTAAGTATTTAATGCTAATATCCCTGACAACTATTGCAGGGAGAAGCAGAGCTGAAGCACAGAGGAGACAGATGCAGCAATCTCTGCTGCAGGAGCAGGGAGGATGAGCAAGGACTGACACCTGCTTGTACTTCCAGCAAGGTTTAACTTCCCCAGGACTCCATGGCTCAGCTGGGGTGGCTGTGTGGCTGGAGCAGGGCTCTCCTTTGGTTTTCCATGCTCCAGGAATGTTCCCGTGTGTGCTCTGAGCGCTCAGCCCCCAACACGCACACTTCAAAGAGCCACATGCCTAACCCTGTTCGAGCTTCTCTGCAAGCCTCTGTTCTTGTGCAACGTCTGAAGGAAGCAAATTTAGCAATATTAAAACTCAAGCCAAACACAAAACCAAGCAAAGGATCCCCAAATTAAAAAGAAAATCTCGACCGAGTTACTCATTCATCTGCATTTTCTGCCGCGTTGGGTCTTCTCCCGGCGTGTTCCTGTGAGACAAAGCCCTCTGGGCAGAGCCCATCTCTTTTGGTGTCTGGTACATCAGTCACAGAGTCAGGGCAGGGTAATAAAGCAAAATAGATTCATGGTAGGAGTTAAACCAGTCGGTCTGGTCCTGTAATTGGAACATAATCTCATATTGACAGTGTTTAACTCAGGATGTGCGGGGAGCAGATGGCACCAGGCCAGGCTCCATTGGAAAGATGTTTCCCAAGTCCAGCTCCTGAACCTCAGGTGAGATGTTGGAAGCTTTGCTTCCCCAAAAGGGCCTTGAGCCCCTCACTAAGCAGGTTAAAGCCCCACACCCTGCTCTGCCTGGAGCCTGCAGCTGGCTGCCAGGAGCTGCTGTGGGAGCACTGGGACAGATGGGAACAGCATCCAAAGGGCAGGAGGCTCCAGGTCTGCTGGGAACAGCATCCAAAAGGCTGGGAACAGCTTCCAAAAGGCTCCCAGGTCTGCTGGCCAAGCAGCCCAGAGCTCTCCGTGCTCCTGGGAGCCAGCAGGGACCTGCCTGGGACACGAGGCTCAAGCCCAGGGGTGCTCTCAGTGCCAGGGACACCCAGGGACACCCAGGGACACCCAGGGACACCCAGCAGTGCCACCTTTCTGCTCCTTTTTTTTTCACCTCTAAAAGCTCCAGTGGCACAATGAACTCCACACTGGCAACAGTGGCTAATTCCTTTCTCCAAAATGCTGAGCTAAAGCAGGTGAGAGGAGAGGAAGAACATTTATTCCAAGACTCTTCCCATGGTAGAGCCTAAGTGCAGACACAGACTCAGCTTTCCAAGGGTGTGGGAGAAGAATACCAAGCTTCTTATAGCTGCTACAGGAAGTTTAAATTGATTTTTCTCCATTTCAGCAATTAATTCCCATTAATCAACTTACTGTACAATGCTGCACAATAATTCACAAGTTTTATGTATTATATGAATAAAATTGCACATATATTTTTATGTGATTTTCATTTAATTGAATTCCAAGGAGATTTATCTGCTGGGTTATTAATAAATCTTAATATGGCCTATAACACTCAATTGATATTTAATTAACCTGCAATAACTGCCTTGTAAAATGTAAATTAAATGCTTTATTTTTTCCAGGCATATAACGTTAAATCAAATCCTTCATTCTACCAACAAAGCAAAAAGAAGCAGGGAAAAAACAACATTTCAGGCAACCAAACCTTACACCTGAATATATTTGATGTTTAAAGAGGTTCAAACTGGAAATTAGATCCATGCTTTGTAATCAGTTCTTCTCTTGAGGAAGTACTTTTCCACTCTTCCCAGTTTTAAAGATCACAGAATTTGGGTGGATTTAGATGAAACAACAAATTCTCAGGAGGTTTGAAGAGAAGCGAGAGACACCCATTATTAATAAAAAGGTTGTGAATTCCCATAGGTAATGTGGTATTTGGCATTTTTCTGAAAGTCTTGACTCCTAGAGTCATATTATTAAATGAGAATGTCAATTTTCATTTAAAAATGAAAAAAAAAGAAAAAAAAAAGAAAAGGAAAGGAAAAGGAAAGATGTTAAAGCCCTTTGATAGGGGAAGTTTGCAAACCTGAATGTCAAAGGCATGAGAACTAAGAGACAAAAATACATAAAATTTGATCCTTATCTTTAAAAGTATCTGAACTTTTTGAGACTGAGATGTTTGAAAACTGGGAGGTGGCAACAAATGATCAAAACAGCTTTTACAAGAAAAGATGAGAACAATCCAAATTATATTTTAAGATCAAACTCTTCTCCTCCTCCTCCCCTAGCAATTTACATAGATCTACATTAAATACTGCAAACTGCAAAAACAACTGGTTCTGATTTCCAAACCAGGAGAGCTGGCTGCCTTTGCAAGGTGATTTGAAAACTTCAGGAGAACATGACTGTCCAAAATTGATATGTCTATAAAGTTTTACTGCCACAGCATCTAAACGTAGTATATCTTTTTTAATGCATGGAGGGGCCAGTCTGTCTCTCAATATTTTATTAAACAGGGTATTTCCACCAAACGACAGTAACCCTCAGTGTCTGTAATCTGTCTGCATTAGATCACTTTAAAAGGTATTAAATGGAAATAAAAAGTTAAAT